ATAATGGTGTCGATCGATGTCTGAACCCGAATGGCCTCCTCTTTGAGTACGGCGTGATTTAAAGCCATCTCTAAACGACTTTTAATGTGAGATCTAAACGCTCGAAGAGCTTCGCCACCGGTTTTAGCCAACACTCGCAACACATCCAAAGACAATATATTGGTTGTTCCCTCCCATATGGTAAATATTTGCGAATCTCTGAGCATAACAGGCAGTCCCGTGTCCTCCATAGCTCCCTGTCCTCCGAACGCTTCCAGTCCTTCAGATATTGTCGAAAGCGATTGTTTGCAAACAAACAGCTTTGAGATTGGATTCAATAAACGCAAAACCAAATTCTCTTCATCCGAAGTCAAACCATAGCTCCCTGTCCTCCGAACGCTTCCAGTCCTTCAGATATTGTCGAAAGCGATTGTTTGCAAACAAACAGCTTTGAGATTGGATTCAATAAACGCAAAACCAAATTCTCTTCATCCGAAGTCAACCCCATCTCTTGTTTGCCCAATAGTCGCACATTCTGTCAATTAAATCACTTATAAATAAAACATTACGATCTGTTTCCATACCTCAAACGCTAACATAAAGGCACCCTTTGCCTCGACGTCCATTCGGGCCAGAGTTTGCATATGAATTGGATAATCACTGATAGGCTTTCCAAATGCTTTTCGTCTTTGAGCGTAATCTCTGGCAATACTTATTATTCTAGAAATCATTTAAAATAAATAATTAGATTTAATAATTATATATCACTGAATACCTTCTCATATAAGCGGCGCTTCCAATGGCATTATGAATGCGAGTGATTTGCAACATATTAGCGATTGCGGCCACACCTCTGCCCTCTTCGGACATCTTAATTGGCAAATAAAAGCACAAATTACTTTTAAAACAATCACTTCCAGTGTATTAATTGCGTTAATACTTTATGAGCAATAGTGCCGTCCAATAGTAGTTCAGCGGTGGGCACCTGACGAGTGCCTAATTTGTCTTTGAGGCGAATCATATCAATTTCATTCAACCGTTTGGTCGCATCGTCTCTGATCTTCAGGAAAAACAGAGTCAAACCACGCGTTCCCTGTATTTGACACCAAAATTAATAAAATGTTTAAATATTGAGTCAAACGTTGACGACAAGTAAAACTCATGTTTACTTGTAATACGTTTCCCTCTTCGTCGGCGATTCGGCCCAATGTTAACGCTATGTCCGCGTCGGTGGCCGAAGAGAACCATTTATATCCGTAGAGTTTAAACATGTCTCGACCAATAGAGACGGCCACTGTCTCAGTTCCGCCGGCTTTTGACCAAAAAATATCATTAATTTGTTAGCGAATGAATGGACAAAAGAATGAGAGAGAAAATGGTTTCAGACCGACATCAGATCCGCCGCCCTTTTCGGTCATCCATTGGCCGGACGTGTAGAACGTGTTGGCGTCACGAGTGGTCAGTCGGTGGTAAATATCCTCGTAAAACGATTGGTCAGTGAGTTTGAGTGACTCAATAGTCTTGGCCGCGCCGTCTGTCATAGCGATGGGACACGAGTACAGACCAGAAGAGGGGGCGTAGAGGAAGAGTTTGGCGAATTGATACAAACGCGAGAACTCGTGGTATTTGCGTTCGTAACCGATGGCCACAATTCCCTCGTCGGCCGACACTGTCTTCTGTTGTTTCCAAGCGCTGCACACATAGAGATCATTGCATGTCTGCCCCCAAGCGTTCTGTTGGATCAGTTTTGGCAAATGTTTGTCGCACTCGAGTCCCAATTGGTTGATATCTGTGGCCACACGACCGCCAAATCGGCTCAAATCGCCGCTAATCTCGTTATACATCTGATTATAACAACCAATGGATTAATTCGTGTTATTTATATTGAAAACAATTGAAATATAAGTTATATTAAGTTTTGAAAATATACTTCTTTTGGGAGAACTCTTTGCAAATACTTCTGAAGGAATGGATCCGAAGTGAACTGATTGTCCAGTTGTGGCATCTCTTGCGTAAAGTTGCCGTATTTGGGTCTCGAGAATGGGATCCAATTGGCTTTCG